TATACCAATGCCTTTAATTCTATTTTCATCAGCCCCTTCTTGATCAAGAACTACTATAGTTTGTCACTCTACTGAAATCGCAAATATGAAATGTTATATGAGGCTAAGGTATAATTTACTACACTTACCACGTTGATGCTTTTGCCTTGTTGATGGTTGGGTAGGGGGTTTCTTTCCACTTCTACTAGCTTGTGTTAGAGGTACTCTTCTAACTTGACCTTAGCCATGGAGGTTCATTGCAATGTGAAGCATTCCATTAAATCATGCATGGTGGCATAGGAAAAATCACGCCATATTGGTCTAAGGTGACCCTAGTTTGGGTTTACATAGGGAAGGGGTGAGGGAAATTCAATCACTAAATTCTCTACAAGTTTGTTCATTATTAAAATCATCTCACTCTTATTACATCCAAAGGGTGGGGTGGGGAGGTGATCGACCGTCATCTTCGCGCCATGTATAGGGTCCTCATGCAACTAAAGTATTAATGCATTAACTTTTTTCCATTGTATAGGCTTCTTGGAATTTTGACAACTTTCGTTGTTTATGCTATTATGGCCTATTTTGGCACGGTTAGGGTCTCCTAGTAATCATAGGTGTGTTTAGCACACTTCCACAATTGTGAAAAGTTGGACAACTCTAGATTCTCTATGTCAATACAATACTTGGGTTGCATTCCTCTAATGCATTACATTACCAAGTCTTCTTGTATCACGTGCTAATCATGCAAGGCGATGGCGCTGAAACTGTGGTAGGGAAGGTCTTGTTGGTGAAGTAGGCTAATTGGAATGGCTCTATGTCTAGAATGTTAAGTCAGGTGTTTTCAGTACATGGACTTAGGGTTGGTTCTAATTCCATAACTAAGTTTGTTGATTGGCATCGTCGATGGTTGGGTTTGGGAAGGTATGCAAACCAGGGTTATGGTTGAGGCTAAATCTAGGGCCCCTGAAGCAACTACATCAGTGTTTCTTTGATCTCAACTTGTTGTTGCTCTAGGTGGTCAATCCTCTCAGCCTTTTGGAGTTCAATGACGAAGGTATCCAGGCGGTTCATGACCCTAACGATGTAGTAGTGATGCTATAAACCTTGTTAGTTAGGATCTCCAACTCGCCATTGTCTTTGTATTTCGATAATGTTTCAGGGACCGTTGGGTGGTTGTCCTTCGCTAGGTCTTCGGGGATAGGAGATAAGTTGTTCATTCTTTCTACCATTTTCGTGACCAGTATAACAACCAAAGATTCTTAATGTAAGTTTAAGGTTAGAGATACTAGGGATATCTACCTAAAGGACAACGTTGGATGGTGGTGGTGGCGATCTCCAGTGAGATTGAGGACAAGAGAGTAGAAGGTTGAAAGAGGTAATGGTTATAGAGTTCATGCACAATTTTAGTAATGATCTATGTGAATATGATTGGGAGTCCTCTATTTATAGGAATCTCCTTGGAAAAAAAATTGAAAGTTTTCCTATCTTTGGAAAAGCAATCTTGAGTTAGTTGAATCTGGGATTGAAAAGTGGTTTAGGGTTTCACCACATGTCCATGCAATTATGTCAGTGCAAAAGATCTCTCTTTCCTCGCAATCCACATGTGAGCATAAGTGCAACTACTTCCCCTTCTAGAAACTTAGCAACGTGCATTACTAGAAACACCACTCTAAAATAAACATTTAGGTTGCAGTTGTTTGCGGTGTAAATACAAAACTACTCCGATGGAGTTTAACAATGGTTAGATTTCTGAATATAAAAAGCAAACTGGATATATACTCATTTTACACTCTTGTGTATTTGGACGATTGATGTAAAAGGTAGTGTCGCTTAAGCATTCGATTGCTCAATCCCTCTCCTATTTTTTCCACTCCAGCATTGAGCATGATCTTCAAAATCCTAAGTTGCAATTGGGATTAAATGTTTTTTTTTTCATCATAGAACAAGAACAAGAGCTTCATAGGATTTCTAGTCAAAATCTAGCCATGAAAAATCAATTTGGGAATGAAATATGGCTTTGGTATCAAAACCTGCAGCATCCATGACAAGAGCTTCGTAGGATTTAAGCTTATAGACTGAGGCTCTGGTGTTGGGATCAAAACCTGGAGCTTCTTTGCCACTACTCCGAAGCTTCTTTGGGATCAAATTTTGGGAATGAAATTTGGCTTTGGTATCAAAATCTACAACATCCATGACAAGAGCTTCTTCGCCACTGAGGCTCTTCTTTGCCACAACTACTCCTCTCCGGCTCTCCCTTCGGAGGTGGGTTGCAACTGCTCCTCTTCGGCTCTCCCTTTGGAGGTGGGTTCAGATCCCGTTCAACATCCATGACAAGAAGAAGAAGAAGAAGAAGAGAGAGAGAGAGATGTATCTATAACATCTATAATTTTGATCCCCGGTTCAATTTTCCACCCCAAACAAATGTAGCCTTAAGTGCTAACATAGGCATATTCTGTGAAGTATAGGATTAGTGCAAATATGAGGGTAAATCATGAGGCTATAGATGAGCAGTGACTTAATTGATACGTAGACTAGATAGTCCCAGAAGCAATGCAATTTCAAACCTCACTACTAGTTCCCACCACCACACCTTTGAGAAGAGTTGTTATATTATTGTTGAAAAAGTGTTGTACTATGTCAGAAAAAAAATGAAATATGCTATTCAATACCGAGAAAAAATTCATGAGGCTACGGTGAGAGGTAGTTGGTCCACATAGCAAGGATATTGGGGCCTCCGATGTGCAGCTAGGATGTTATAGTGCATCACATAGTTTTTGTTAAGATGTAACTCTTCTTAATAGAACACCACTTTAGGTTGCGTTTGAAAACAATACAAATAAGTGTGAATGCAAATATGTAGAGTATAAAACGGTTCATATAAATTGTAAAATTGGGATAGTTTTGCACTAACAAATTTACCTTCTTACCAACATACTTTTAGCTGTAATGGATGCAATCATGAATTTCAATAAAACATATATATGCTTTTTTTTTATCAAAAGCCCACTTGAATGCAAATTTACTTATTTTTATTGATATACTTTTATATCTCATTATTTATTATTGATCTATCATTTGTCAATGCATAAATGTAATGTTACCAAACATAAACAAAAATAAACACAAATACAAATTTACCCTAAACCGAAATTTACACTCCATTTTCATCATTTTCAAACGCAACCTTAATGGCTTAATCAACCTCCAAAATGCAAAATGGTAAAATCCAACACTCCAAATGCCCAAGCAAAGCCATGGCCCATGATGGTAATAATAACAAAAAGACGTCTTGTTTTTGCGTTCCATTATCGCTCGCGTCTCTCGAATTCCCAAGTAGATGGATTAACAGAAGTCACACGGTAGAATTGGTGAAAAAGAATTTCAGAGAGAAAAATATCTGAGTTTTTATTTTTTTATTTACGGAAATGTTTTTTACGAAAAACAAACCACATAAGGCAGCAGGGGTCAGCGGATGCGGATGCGGAAGCTGTGTGTATGTGGTTCAGACTTCAGAAGCGGTCGCTCTATACTGAACTGACCCTGATAGTGGCACTTTTGGTATTTTGTCGAAAAGGAAGGGCAATTCCGCTATCCACTGCATTATCTGCTGATGTCCGTCTCCGTCCCGCTCTGATGGTCTCAACCCAACCTAACAAGTACCAGACACCGCCAGTCACAGTGAAGGAGCGTTCAGACTTCAGCGTCACACGCTCACACCCTCATCTGCCTTGTCATAAATCATAATCATCCTTTTGCCACGTGGCAAACTTTTAACACTTGCCACCTGTCAAACCTTATAAAAAATTAGATGACGTATTATAATCTCCTCCTCCTAAAGTCGTACCAAATTAGTCGTTTGGTTTCACACTTCCACTTTTACATTATACAGGGAATCTGTGCGATGTACGAAAAAACCCAATGTCTAATTTGCCGGTAAAAATGATTAAAATGATATATTGAATGTTAGCTCCTTGTAAATTTCTAAAAGTATATATACTAAATTATTGATTTTTTAAATATATTAAATAATTTATTTTTTTAAATATATTATTTATAAAATTATACTAATTTATTTTTTATTTTTCAATATAAGTTAATTAATAATTCCCTTTTCTAAAATTTTCCAATATTATACTAATTTATATTAATAATAGAAATAATTTGTGTAATTATTGGTTCAAATTAATGTTAGCCTTTACTAATACTAATTTATCTTTAATAATTTAAAATGAAAATCACACAATTTTTAAATAAATTTTCAAAATCTATCAAATGTAATACAAATTCCCAAATTTCCAAAATATTCCAATAATTTTCAATAATTATTTACTACATTTAAAGAAATTTTCCAAAATTGCATTAATATATTTTTTTATTTTCTTCTCCAAAATTTTCCAAAATTATGATATTTTGTTTGCCAATTTGCAAACTCCACCAATTATTTTCTGGAGCTATAATTGTTGAATTTATTTTTTAATTTTTTAATTTTTTAATTTTTTAATTTTTTAATTTTTTAATTTTTTAATTAATTTTAAATGACATTTATAAAGAAATTATTGGTTGAAAATTTTGTATATTCATTGATTTCTAATAATTTTTCTGGAAAATAACACAATTTAATTGTTAGTGTAATAAAATTAATTTTAAGAAATTGTAGCTTTAGTAAAACATTTATTATAATGATTATTGGAATTACAGTTATTTCAAAATTACTGTAATTACAGTATTTTGAAAATAACAAATTTTACTATAATAATTAATGTAACTTAATAATTATTATTACACTAATAATAAAGTTATACTAATAAAATTACATTATTAAATTTCTGAAAATGTAATAAGATGGAAATATATTTTAATCGGGTCTTTGACGATAACATTGAGCCATTCTTATTTTTATTAATGGATAAGAGGTAAGATATTTATATTCTCTTTGTCTGTGTTATATGCTGAGCCGAATCGGCAACTCGTGTGAGTTAACTTGAGCCGTGATTCTCTCTCTCGTATCAGTTATCAACATCCGGCGCTTTTCCTGTCTGTCTTCTTACTCTGAATTTAAAGAAAGGACTGAGTTGGGTGGGGGAGAGCGGGAGAGGGCAAAAACTGCAATTGTTTGTCTGAGTGGTGTGTAAGAGTGTTTGGATCCACTGGTGGGGAGTTCGTCCACCTGTCTTGTGTTCCAGAGCTTTGCAGCTTCTTAAATGGCAGACTCCGCACATGTTCACCATCAGCACCTTTTACTCCCCGTAAGTTCAGTTCAACCTCTCTCTCGCTAATTAGCCCTAATAAAGAGATCAACTATCAACCTCGAGAAATTCTCAACTCAGTAATAAAAAATAAGTCTGTTTCTCTGTTTTTTGGATTTTTCTCCCAAGTTCAGTGTTCAAGTACTTGTATTGATGGACATGGGTACTTGCAAAGTTGCAATGTCTGAAACTCAATTTTTCTTTTTAAATAAAACTTGTTTTTCGATTCCTTAGAGAGGAACCCTAGATGGATTATTTAGAAAACAAAAGAAAAAAATCGTTAGAAATGTTGCTGAAAACGGTAAAAAATTTCTACGTTTTCGCTCAGTAGTTTGACATAAATTCACCGCCAAAATTTCTGAAATCATGAAAAAGAAAAATAAAAAAAAAAGAAAGAAGAAAGAGCTGAAGCCCTAGATAGAAGGTGGGGTCTGCCCACAGAAGAAAGCAATAGAAGGCTTCGTATTTGTTAAGGGAAATTAAATTCTCTTTAATTTATGTTGTAACTCCCTAGCTTTAAAGATTTTCCTCTGATATTTCCGTAGAGGAAATTCTGACCTTGATGAAAAATCCAAAATTTTCCAGTTTGAAGTACGGACATCACGGAGAAGAAAAAGCTTCTGCCTTACGATACTTCCAAAATGTATTGAGGAAATAAAAAGAAAACGGGAAATGCTTTTTTCTCTATTGAAGTATTAACCAAACAACCCATTAAAACATTTAAAAAGAAAAGGCAAAAAGGCGTCAAATACGATCAATAAAAAAATTGGTTTGTTTGTTTTAATCTCTTTTTTAAAAAGCTTCAGAGCAGATTCATAGATGGAAAAGAAAAAAAAATTCTGCATTTTCTGAGTTGGTCAATGCGAGTTTGACCCGTTTTTGTTATGCACCCAAAAGGGCCAAAACAAGTATGCCGTGTTTAAACAGCTTTTTTCGTTGAACTCAGATGGTCAATTCGACGTTCTTTTTCGTTAATCTATACATGTCTTTGCAAGTAACGATGCCTTTGTTATTTGATTAGGTGGAGCAAGCACGTTGAGCGTTAGTTGGATCCCTGTCTTCATTGTTGCAGGAGAGACTGTGTGACTATGATGATGATGATTGATCAGGGATTAGAACTAAGATACAAATATTGCAATGCAGAAAAAAAGTATCGTTTCCTTCTGTATTTTCTGAGTTGGGTTTGATGAGCGGTTAATTGGAAGCTTTTCATCTACCATAAATTCCACGATTTTGTTTTTCTAAGAGATTTGTGCCGCCTAAGGCGAATGTCTGGTGTTCTGGGTCTGAGTGAGATAAAATCAAGGAAGTGGATTTCTGGTTTCTATTTTGAGTTTTCGGGGGAAATGGATGATTAATTAGAGGCCGAAGATGGACAACAGATGGTAAAAAAGGTTGTTTTCTTCCAATAATTTTGGCAAAAGAATAATTGGGGAAAGTAATTTCCAAAGGATATAAAGGCGGCAGTTTTAGTCTAACATAACGCAGTAAAAGTTTTGACAGAAAAAAGCTCAGTTGGGTCCAGACATAAATAATTGGGAAAGTAATTGCAAAAGGATATAAAGGGGACTTTTGGATGGTTGATGAGAAGGAAAGAGAGGAGAATTAAACTGGTTTGGTGTAGTGGGTAACGGTAACTTTTTTCGGAGACTAGTTGGATATGGTGAAATAATGGAGGCGTAATCTTTTGTAATCTCTCTGAAACCGAGAAGGGAGCAGGTTGGCTGGCATTCAGGGGGTGGGTGAGTCTTGCTGAACAGAACAGTTCTTAGATAAAAGAGTAAGGGCATTTCTTTTATTGGAAGAGCTTGAATATTGCCGATGGTCTGAGGCTTAGAGTACTGAGAAGCTGAGATTTGTAGTATGGGGAGAGAGAGAGGGTGAGGGGGTCAGGAGGAAGGTTCATCTTCATTGGTGGAAGATGCAAAGCATTGAAGATAGCAAAGGTATTACTAATTCCATCAGCTCATGTAATGGCGCTGGCTCTGTAAGGGCTGCTTCCTCTATACACATTCTCTGTATCTACTACATTGAACCCTTGACGTTACATGTTTAGCCAATTGAAGTAGGGGATTTAATCTCGAGGGATCAATAAAGGTTAACCGTGCTCAAAGTGCTGGAGTGCTGGTGCTAGAGAAGCTGTTGTCTCTCCCTCCGCCATTTGACCTTCTCGTTAGATGGGTAGAGTTGGGTTTTAAGGGGTATTGGTGGCACTTGTCTGTGATCAGAGAGGAAAGGAGCTGACCCTGGTTCATTTCAAAGGAAAGGTTTGCTATACGCTAGTCTATGCTGTTGATCTGCTACTGCTGAGTAGAGAGAGAGGAAGCCGAGAAAAGACTAGCCAGTGCTATTATATGATTTTGGAGGTATGCTTGAATTTATCTTTGATGTAATATCAACAATAATTAAAAAAAGTAAAGAGGGTATGATTGTTTCTTATCTTTCCAAAAATTCACTTACCTATCTGATTTGTATATAATGGATTCCTTCCTGCTCTGCATGATTTGTACTTATGATAACTTTCCTTTTTTTCTCAAAAAAAATGATAGTTTCCTTCTATATATTCTTTCACATTGGCTTGCTAACAGCTCTCTCCCTTGATGACATATTTGTTTAATTCCTACAGGATCTGATCCTGTCCAACGTAGTTGGGTGAGTTGTGAGTTATTGCATGTTTTATGAGTCAAACAGTTTGTGAAACCTTTCCTATGAGGACTTCTGTCATGGAGTGGAATCCAAAGACTCCCTCACAGTGGGACTGGGATAACCTAGTAATGTTCAATGGAAAAGCAAGTGACATTCCCAAGCAGGTGCAACCGACAGATTGGGGGATTGAAGGGGATGGAGGAATTGATAATGGATCTGTCTATTCATCTGCGGGAGGTGGTTGTTCTGGCTCTGATTTGGGACATGGCTCCTCATCCAAGAGTTCGATCTCTGCATCTGTTGACTCATCATTGAAGGGGGGAATAAAAATATCCAATTTTAATTTTGAGGCTGCTGAAGATTTTCCTAAGGATTTTAGCAAGAAAAAAGAATTTCCCAGATTAGAAGATACTGGAACTTCTCCAACATTGGGGGCTTCAGTTGGCTCGAGTGAACCAGTGATTGGTTTAAAGCTTGGTAAGCGCACTTACTTTGAAGACATTTGTGCCGGGAGCACAATTAAGAACTCATTTTCTGTCATTCCAACATCATCTTCTACCACAGCAAAGAGATCCAGGGCATCTTATCAGAGCACTCAGACCCCACAGTGCCAAGTAGAAGGTTGTAACCTCGACCTTACATCAGCTAAAGATTACCATCGCAGGCATAGAGTTTGTGAAAGCCATTCCAAATCCCCAAAGGTAATTGTAGCAGGCCTGGAACGCCGGTTTTGCCAACAATGTAGCAGGTATGCATCATATAATATTTCTGAGTAACTGGAATGACTCCTAATTAGAAGATTGATCTTCTATTGTTATTATTTTTGACCACTGTGGTTTAACTTTGCATATGCTGGCAATGACGTAAGACATTTTTACATGTTGTCATCTAGTCATCTACTGTAGTTGTAAAGTTTTGCTCTAAGTGAATGCCAAATTTTAGCTTCTCAGAATGCTAGAAGACATTGTCGTGACAACCACCTGCTTGATCATGTTAAAGGTTCCATGATTTGTCTGAGTTTGATGAGAAAAAGCGTAGCTGTCGTAGGCGTCTCTCTGATCACAATGCACGTCGCCGCAAGTCACAACCTGAGGCAATCCAATTCAATTCTGCAAGACTGTCTTCATCATTTTATGGTACTATTTTTAGCTCTGACTTCTTGAACCACTTTCTTGTAGATGTAAATTTTTAATGGATGTTCACATAACGTGCTCACATTGTTTTAGATGAAAAAATGTGAGCCTGTTACTTATGAACATTAGATATATATTGAAATTTTGTGTTCTGCGTTGCAATAAAAATCAATTCTTGATTGAGATAAATGGTGAAAATGCTTCAAAAAATTATGTTATGGCTTATACCTAATACAATTACAATGTTTTTGTTATGTTCCAATGGATGTATATACTAAACATGCCAGCTTTTGGACCACCAAACTTAGTCCTGATAAGTGTTTCCATACTCAGTTTTTCTTTTCTTTTATGGATTAGTTGTTTCTATTCCTGTTTTGGTTTTGTTTTATCGGAAATTCTGTGTCTCAACTGTTTGAGAACAGAAGGAAGTTCCTTTATAATTTTGAATGTGGAATTAGCATAAAAGGAAGTTCTCTATTTACCTTTAGTTCCTTGGAATTAGCATAAAAGGAAGTTCTCTATTTACCTTTAGTTCCTTGGAATTAGCATAAAAGGAAGTTCTCTATTTGTGCAAGAAATGGGTTGATAAACATGAGAATACGGTTTTAAGTTTGAGAGCAGCCACTTTGTGCAAGAAATGCGAAAGTTTATGCTCTGTTTGTTTGCAGTGTAAATCTTAACCAGATGCAAATTTATTCCTAGGTTAGATTTGCATAAAATTGTTATCATCATGATTTACACTCTTATTATGATTCTCAAAATCTGCACTTTTTGCTAAAAAATTTTGTATCCCATACACTGATTCAACATTTGCACCACCTACCTACCTTAATCCCTCTCATATAAAGCAGGGGCTCCATCGTTTTACTTCCTGTTTTACTCCTCTCAAACAAAAACCCATCTCCCCTTCACTTTCTTTCATGTATATAGTGGGGAGAACATCATTGTACTCCCTGTTTTACTCCTCACAAACAAATGAAACAAGCTCAAACCCAGAACAAAAGTAAACAGGAAATTACACTCAGCCCATTGGATTTCCATGCATTTACACCAGTACGAATTTCATTTTCACTGCAAAGGAAGAGTGCAGATACAAATTGTTCAGTGCAAAACCCTGTATAAGGTATTTCCAAACCTTGTATGTGCAGTGCACATATTTGTATTTCCACTCTTCCAAAACTGAGCCTTAGGTCCATATATGGTCCACCCCTCTCAAGATCCCAGTAGCTGGGACCAACATTAGGTATTGGTCTTTTTTCCTTTGGTAATGGGTGAACAACTTTGGGCTATGGTTATGTATTTTCTAGCTGCCTTGTTGAATTACAAACTGGTTTCAACACTAACAAGCTAGCAAGTATGATTGAAAGGGGCTTTGTAATAGTAGTTTGTGCCAATGTTGCTGTATAAAACTTAGTTCTCTCTCTCTCTTTCTCTCTCTCTCTCTCTGTGAAGAATAAATAAAAAAGGATTTCATTAAAATAAAAAGATAGTACAATCTGAACAGACACCCCAAAAAAACTACTCTACACAGCACCGATCACATTACATCTTTGAAGCTTTAGAATGTCCCAAAAACTGTCTCCCAAGGCTACTCAATTGACATAAACAAAATCCAGAGGGACCAAGATCCAATCTACTGATCCGTTCCTCTCATTTCAAATGATCCAGCTCACTACAAATGTAATGCAGCTCCAAACGATTCATACCTTCCTAAATACCCTGGCTCCGTATGGGCAGCCCACCTGACAACCCTTCAGCCTTTAAATCCAGTCATTCTTCACTGTTCACTCCCCAGATTTCTTCCTTCATGCCCACATCAAAATTTTCCAATTTTGTTTCCTGCAGCCAACACTATCCCTGGTCAGTGTTTTCTAATCAAGTTCTTCACCACTGCCCTGCTGTTCTCTCCCTTGGTCCCCTCATATGCCAACTTAATAACTTCATTCTTGCCCCTACCTTCCTCTTCACCCCCTCTTCATCCCAATCCCTATCCTTCTCAATCCTCTCCTTTTTTCTATTCTTTTCCATTCGTCTCTTCTTTTCAAACTGTTCAAATCAGCCCTCACAAAACCTTCCCCTCCACAGAAGAATAAACCCAACAATTTCCCCACTGCCACCTCCCTTTCCACTAGTTTATTAATAACCACTTCTCCATTTTTAATAATTTCAGTTCTGTCTTGGTCTTCAATCCCTCTTGCATCTTAATCCTCTCTGCTCCCTCTCTCTTCCTCCTCCCTCCCCCCCTTTCCCCCCTCACTCCAGCTTCACCACTCGCTAAACCCACAAATCTCCATTTCCTATTATAAACCCTCCTCTGAGGACCACTCCCTTCAACCTTGAACAGTTCCTTTCTCTTCCCACTTCCTCCCCTCTCTTCTTCTATTATCTTCTTATTTYCTTTCGTTCTTTCCTCCCTATGCTCATCCAAGGTGGCCAATGAATTAGAGTTAGATGGACTTACCTCATCAATGAGCAAACCGACAGCAGACGTTTCCTCTGGAGCATCCCCCCTTTCCCCCCTCACTCCAGCTTCACCACTCGCTAAACCCACAAATCTCCATTTCCTATTATAAACCCTCCTCTGAGGACCACTCCCTTCAACCTTGAACAGTTCCTTTCTCTTCCCACTTCCTCCCCTCTCTTCTTCTATTATCTTCTTATTTTCTTTCGTTCTTTCCTCCCTATGCTCATCCAAGGTGGCCAATGAATTAGAGTTAGATGGACTTACCTCATCAATGAGCAAACCAACAGCAGACGTTTCCTCTGGAGCATCCCCTCTCTCTTCTTCCCCTATTCCTTATTCTTTCTCCTCTATTGTAATCTGTAAGGGATTAAGACTGTTGACAACCTCTTGCTGAATTGGTTGATGCCTACCTTGTGCTAAAGCACTCTCTCCCAATCAGATCTCTTGCTTTGTTAAGCCACTGCAAATCACTGTCATTACAAACCTTAGGGCCCTTGTCGTCATCCTCTGCTTCTTTCTATTGTAACGGGCGATCACTCTTAAGCTCCCCAACCAATCTCCCATCATGCAATGCCTTCAAAACTTTCTTACCATTCTTGAATGTTGTCACCACCCAAACCCAGTCTCTTTTTGGCTTCTAGCTTTCTTTCTCCTAGCCATTGCTTGTTTTTTTTGTCGAGTTTCTCGAAAAACCCAACAGCTTTGCCTTTTTCCAATTATGCCCCTCCCTCTTAACACCCCTAGCCCCTTTAACCTGTTTTTATCTCTTAAGTTTGACCTTCCAATTTTAGTGTGGGCCCTACCTGAATGCTTCAACTCTTTAATATTCTCTATCAGCTGTCTTATTTCTCTTCCCCAGCCTTTTCACACGCCCCTTGCTCTTCCCTCTCCTTCTTTCCATCCTCCACGTGTCCTCCCTTTTTTACTTCTCCACCCCTAACCTCCCCTGAACTTCCAGTTCTTCCCTTTGCCCCTTCCACCCCATCTTCATCTCCTTCTTGTGATCGTTTCTTCGCCTCTCCCTTCTATGCTTTGTTCTCCATGATTTTTTTTTTTGATCAATAACAGGAATTTATTAAATTAATAAAAATTAGTTACAACACTCCAGAGAGAGATAAAAAAGCTTAACTCTCTCCAAGAGAACAACAAAAAACAAAAATGCTTACAATACAGCCCAAAACATTTGGTCCCTTCCCACTCCCTGCTTTGCCAAAGCATCTGCAAATGCATTTGCTGTTCTCTTCATCCACTGGAATTGGATTCCCATCCCCCCTAGTTAGCCTTTAATTTCCCTCCTCTCATTAGCAATTTTCCGAAGCCCACTTTCCTTCTGTAACCAGCTTAACACCAACTCTGAGTCCCCTTCAATGACTAACTTGTGTATATTCAGTTCCTTAGCCTTTCTTATACCCTCCAGACTCCAGTACAGCATATACCTCAACTTTAAGAGTCCCCAATCCCAATGGGACCTGAATACATTGCAAGAACCTTTCCATCCTCATCTCTGAAGACACCTCCTACCCCTTCAACGACTAACTTTTGTTCTCCATGCATTTATGCACAAACCCTTCTGCCTTTCAATCCGAGTCAGCCTCCTTATCCATTACTGAACTTAGAAATGTTCCTTCCTCCCCTTCTATCATTAATCTTATCTCACAAATCTTCCCTAGCAAATTGCAGCTCTATTCTGCTTGGGATAACTGAAATGTCTTGCCATCAAATTTCAAGTATTTCCCAAAAAAGGTCTCCAATCGCTTCAAACATGAGGATGCTCCAAGCATGAAGTGGAATTCCGATTACATTGGTCCAAACCACCCTCCTCCCTCTGCTCAACCAAGGTTCAAAGTATCATACACGCCTAGTGTATCGGAAAGGCAATTTTAAGAGACGTCTTAGGATACACCTTGGATATGCATGTGTATCGGAGAAAAATTAAGATACACATAAAAACATCATAAATACTTTAATAAATCATAAAACATGCATTGGCACAACTTCTAAGATAAAATATAATTAATAATTATTTATTATTTAAATAATTAATATCTATTTTTTATTCTAAAAATACAAAAAATAAAAAATAAATAAACATTGTACAATATATTCAAAAAATAATTATTACTATGTGGATATGATCGATCATATCCATAGATCATCCATAGATCTACAATATATTCAATCCTTATGATTAGATCATCAAACTATAATTAACTATTATTTATTTTTTAATTATGAGATATAAAAAATAAAAAAGAAATATTGAAGAAGAAATTTCAGTTTCTTTATGGATGTGAAAGATCATTCATAGATCTACAACATACATAGTCTTTATGGGCAAATTACAAGAAAATATAAATAATTAAAATTTATTATTTAATTCCAAAAATTACAAAAAAATAAAAACATATTGTACAAGAAATTTCAATTATGGATATGATAGATCATCCATAGATCTAAAACATATTAAGTCTTTATAGGCAGATAAAAACACATTTTTCATTTTTTTGTTATTTTATTTTTTCCCTAAATTTATTCATAA